TAGGGGGAGGTTGTATCAGCTTTAATTCTTAGGGAGTGGCAAGGGGCATCCTTTCAAACCAAGAGCAGCTCAGTGACATGGAGTATGCAACAGGATCAGTAGAAAGAAAAGTCCCAGAGAACCTGTAATAAGACAACTGCAAGCAGCCAACACTGGTTCGTATTTCATAGATAATTCTGTATTAAAACCTATTTTGCATGAGGTCAGCACAAAACCATAAGCTGCTGGATTTGCTCCAGGAGTTTGTAAAATTACAAACGTAGCAGTTCTGACCATTGTAAGTCATGTGGCATCATCTGGGTCCAGTTTTCTGAGATTATTTTCCGAGAAAGGAATATTCAGACCTCACTCCCTTCATGTGAGTGTCACAGTGCCTTTACACTGCAGCCCCAGCAACATGATGGACCCCAAGACTTACCCCCTCCACCTCCAGGACAGCATGAAGATGACACAAAGGTGAGGACAGAGCAGCTGTATGACTGCCTGTTCCTGGCTGTGTAGACTTTCCTCTGGTGGCCAGAAAATTGAGCAACAGGCCTTTAGTGTACTTTTCGGCTGAACTCCTTTCTTCTTAAATTGGGTGACCCAGTGGGGATAAGGAAAGATTGGCCGTTCTTCACAGTATTTAAGAGAAAAGGGAGAAAAGGCATCTAACAGCTTACATAACTCATTTTCCAGAAGCAGTGTTCAAACCCTGTCCCTGAGGGCTGTTCCCCACACCACACAGCTCCATTTTCCAATTAATTAGACACGGAAGTAGGTTAGATCACTGGTCATAACAGTGTGACTCTCCCTACCTCACCCCCTCAGCCAGCAGGAACTTCAGAGAAAAAATGTATTCATATACTGAGGTCATGAATTTGAAGAATACAAAAATGAGATGTTCCAAGGCTACATTCAATGGCTATCACGACTAACTCCTAAAACTCTGATGAAGAATTAAATTACTGGGCTAAAATATAACTTTTTTATAAATAAAGTCAAATAGCAAGAAAATAATATATACATGGGTCACCTCTTTTTGTGCACAGAGTCCTGTTGCTCCCAAATCGGTAATGGCCTGTTGACTCTGGGGATGCAGTAAGCAGATGTTCCCAGTTTACTGTAGTTCTGCTTGTCTAACGCAACTTATAAATCTGTCTGAGCAACATCACACATCCACATTTGGATAGCAGCACATGGTGAAATTGTGAGTAATACAGCCAAAGGCAAACTGCTGAAATTGTCCTACTAATTAGTTGCAATGAATTGTAGACTCAGTGCACCAAACCAGTTCCAAGTATAGCTGCATTAATGTAAAGGGCTAGCATCAGGGAAATATTTCACTCTCTGAAATTAATGAATAATTTCCTAAGCTATTAGCAACTACTCACAGTTACATGAAGGACAGGTTTTACCCCTTTCTGAATAACGCTAAGTAATAAGCTATTTTTGTGCTGGAAAAAACAAATGCAATCAGGGTATTTGGCTGTGAGGAAAAAAATGGGACCATAAGTATCCTTTCAACATCACTGTCCAGAAGCATTAAAGTGGTCTTTAAAAACTTGGCATCATAGTCTCTTTTTCACATGCACTTTGAGGGGCTGAGGCCCAGAGTGGCAGCGTGACTCACTCCAGGCCACCTGAAGAGTCAGTGGGAAACTGGAAATAGAATTTGAGTGTTGGATGCGAAGTGTGTTTTGTGATCCCAGGTTATTCTGCCCTCCATTCAGAGAGAAAAAAGATGGCTCTCTGCTGTTTCTGCTTGTCTCTAGTAATCAAAATGATCTTCTCCCAATGTTCACAGTCAAGAGCAGCCAGCAAGTGTCTGAAGAAAAGTTATGACCCGGAAAAGAATAGGTTGTTTTCCTTGAAGATGAAGGGAATTAAGTTAAACTGAAGCTTTCATCCCAGTTTCCCCCTGCTTTTTCAAAATGGGTATAATACGTAATGGGACAAGGCAGTTACTGCACAGCAACTTCAAACTGCAGTTTAAAAAAATACAGTGGGTATCAAGGCCGGCAATGTGCTGATGTAAAAGAAGATACAGATGAGGTTTAATAAAAAATGAACACTGCTCTCCTTGTCATTCCATCTTAAGCTCATTCACTAGAAAAACAAGCAAATGATCAAAACAGGTGCCAGACTAAAAGGTGGAGAAATTAAGTTTATAAACAGGTGATAGCATGGTTAAAAGCAGAACACCTTTCCCCCAGTGTCCCATCAACATACCCTTACGAAAAAAAGAAAAAATGAGCCTCGCTGACCTGAGTTTCTAACACTGAAGCTCCCGCTACCTCATTTTGCATACTGTTGTCCAGTAAGGAGCTTTCAAGCAGTAATAACAGTTTAGACCAATGATCTAAAGGTTAAAGTGTTCTCATGCATTATGTATCCCTGCATCATTTGATCTCCCAGACAGTCTTTTTTGATTTATCAAACAGCATCTTTGGTATGGAATTTGCTCAGAGAATATAAATGTCACAAAACAGTATTTATACGCAAACTCGTAAGCTCCTGCTTACACCTGTCTACCTGAAAATTTTGAAGCCAGGTTACTTCAAAGCTGTCCTTGCTGATATTAAAATTCTGTTGAAACAGACAGTTTGAGAGCACTGTGAATTTCAATAACAGATGCAAAGCTCACTTTACCATACGAGCCTCCCCAAAGTGAGAGACTTAACAATTTCATCTGGCAGGGTTTATTGCATTTGAAACCACTCAACAAACTGAATTTTCTTAGCATGAGAGATAAAATGAGCTAAGGGTACGGAATCTAGACATTCTCTTTGGAAATAATGGTGCTACACTTTATTCATATATGCGTATCTGTACATTCCGAATTGTAAATGTATAGGAATACAAAACTGTATCATCTGGTGCACCTTCTTTCTCTTTGCTCTCTGTATGTATCCCCATAAGACTCATTTTAATATTCTAAAACTTGTGCCTATGTGTCAAATGTAAAATTGATACACTGGGTAGAATTTTTATTATTTCAAAAACTCCTTGCTTGTTTATGGTGTGAGCTGGGATCCAAGTTCAAGTCTCAGCTTAAACGAAGAATGATGCTTTTCTATTGGATTTCATAGAATAAAAATATTTTGCATAAATAATAGAAGTAAAAATACATTTGTTTAACCTTTGGATGTTTCCATCTATGTGCTCAGAAATCTTGTCTCATGCCCTTGCCATAATTTGAAATGTGATGTATAATCCAGAAACTATGATGGCTTGTGATAATGCTAAACTTTTCTTTCCCCAAGGTTTTATATTCTAGTAGCAAAATGTGATTTGTTGTCTAAGAGACTGAGGATAGACACTATTAATATCTTAAAACAACAAAAAAAATTACACCATTGCTGTGCCTATAAATTTAGTAGAACCTAATTTGTTTCAATCAGCTAAAATTAGTCTGGAGCTACCCAAAACTCCCAGATTCTGTATCAGTGAGGCATTTACAAGGTGATTTACTGGGCTGGTTTTGCTTAGTTCTCACCTAGGTTTTCACTGTTTCAAGCATGATTCAGGTAGGCATTTCACATTCAGGCTTAAGGCACGGATATAGGACTCAGGCTGAGTTGCAGACTTCTATACTTAAGTACAGAGGCTAATGGTAATTTTTCTTTCACTTCTCTGCCTTCCTGTCCATAGTCACTTTGGCAGCTGGTTGTCATTACAGATACCCACACAACACTTCTTGTCACAAATAATTTCAGTAAAAATAGAGGAAAAATAGTACATTTTCAATACAGCATTCAGTAGAAAGATTGCAGACCTTTGCAAAAAATGTTTTTGAGCATTACAAGCTTTTTTCTCCTTTTATTTCTTTTTTGCCTTTTAATAAAAAAAGTGTCCTAAAGTAATCTGAGATCCTATCACAGGATGAGTGGGAAATGAAAACTTGACCTTGAGTCCAGGTAAAAAGGACATTGTGTATTATGCTGGAAGAAGACTACAGGTTTTGAGGAATTTTTTAAAGGTAGTAAAACACCTGAGGACAGGTGCATGTACATGTGGCTCTGAAAAGGACAGATTTGTGTTAGAAATCTAAACGTGGGTTCGAAAGTGTTAAAGAACTTCATTCCGTATTGTAGAGTATGTCATAGTCTGGATGCAGATCTTCTGAAGTTAGTGACTCCCAAGGCCTGAGTCACAGTCATACAGAAAGACTAATTAACCTATAATTAGTAAGGGCCAAATCAAGGCTAATGAGTCAACACCTTTTGTAGCTGGACATCTTTGCAGTTGACTACTGTGATGAATATCTAAGCATGGGGTTTGGCTCTGAAGCTTTTTCAAAGCATGAGCTAGCTACCAAACTGTTGTTGAAGGGTCTGGAGAGGTTACTGGATCATGTGCTTATATTGAGATGTGGCACCATTGACAGGAAACAGCTATTTTCCTAATAGCTTTTAGATGTCCAAGGTACATAGAAAGTCCACATTTTCCACTTCCTATCAGCATTGCTTTCATCTTGATTCTTGGGTTGTGGTTTTTCAGCAACTTTTTTTTTTTTCTTTTTTATTTTTTTTTTGTTTCTGGGTAGCAGATATTTAAGGAATACAATTATTATTCATTGTAGAAGAAGGTCGAGGCCCAGGCAATAATCTGCCTTCTGGCTCTTCCAGGGACTTTCTGACAGTTTGAATGGGGAGGGTTATTCTTGTGAATCGCTGTAGTTTCTATCAAACTCTACAAATCAGAGGTGGGCATTCCTTCATAAACAGAAAGTAGTCAAAAGTAATCCACAGATACTTCTTTCTCTCCTGAGTGCCGTTTGTGGGAAGTAATTTTACTATAAGGCATAATTTCAGTCATCCCCTGCCATTTCAAACACTGTGTACCATTGCAAAATATCACTTTAACTATAAAAAGAAAGATTACCTTATGGTTATGTTGTTTTTAGAGCAGGTTCTCTCTTGAGGCTTATTTGAATGAGAGCTTTATTTTTCTTCCCAAGCCATTGAGGAGTTTTATTTTTTCTTTCAGAAGGCTTGCAGTTCATAACAAACGATTAAAAGCATCAGTCCAAATTGGGACTCAAAAGACTTCTATTCCTCAGGAATGAAGAGAAATTGTATGAATTACCAGCAGACAAATAACAGACACCCCATAGATTTCATTCTAGGACTGGTTTTATTGTTTTAGGGTATTTCACACTAAGTAATTCCCGTTATATTCATTATGACAAAATCAGTCTAAGATGTGATGCTTTGTATGAATTAAAAAGGCTATTTCCATTAAGGTTACATCTGAACTTTGTATAAGAGTCTGTTTTCCCTTACTCAGAAGGAAAATAGCACTGGAGAACTCCCAAGGAAGCAGCGGTGTGAAAAACATATTTTCAAAATTCATGGTCAGAACTTTGCAGCAAAATTTCTTTTCTTTTCTTCCCTCTCCCCCCCCCCCCCCCCCCCCCCCCGCCCCTTTTCGGTTTTAAGCACAAAATTTTTCGTGAGAGCAGTACTGCTGTGAAAAAGACCATTTTTCCTTCATTGTTTTCTAGGTTTCTTATTTTTTATTTTTCTGGGTTTAGTATCTTTTCTGCTTTATACATTTCTTCAAAAATTTCTTCATTCTCACCTTCTCCCTCACTGCCATCTCCAACCTAACTGGGACCAGAAAAAGGACGAGATGAGGAAAAGCATTTTGAGAGGCATGGGAATTTCATTTTTGCAAAGTTGAATATAAACAGCTGAGGAAATCTTTGTTTACAAAATAACACTGGCTCTACTGATATTATTTTTAATTTTTTTTTATACTACCAAATGAAATTAATGAATTATTTGCGTACACTTTGGATTTCTGTTTTATATGTTTGTTTCCAAAGATTATTCTGGGACATGGAGAAATGATGTTGCATACAATTAAATTAAGTTTCTCTCTGCAGGCATCACCACAGTATTGACCATGACAACTTTGAGTACCATTGCGAGAAAGTCATTACCCCGTGTGTCCTATGTCACCGCTATGGATTTGTTTGTGACTGTATGCTTTCTATTTGTCTTTGCTGCTCTGATGGAGTATGCAACCCTCAACTACTACTCAAGTTGCAGGAAACCAAACTGTACTAAGAAGAAAAAGTCGGTAAGATGGGAGCATTTCATTTCTTTTCTAGCATGTGTCTGGCTCGGAGAGCAGAGAATCATTCAAGGACAGCCTCTAATCCCATGATACTCCGCTCCTCCGAGCTCTTACCAGTTTGTGGTGTGATCTGCCCTGAAAGCTGATGGAAAATAGTTACCTTGCAGTAACAGTAGAAGCAGTTATGTGCCTGTTGAGTGAGGTCTGTTCCTAACAAAAGCAGCCCGCTGATCATGAAGCAGCAACCCTGCCTACGTGTCTTTCGTTCTCCAATTACTGTGCTGGTAGTCACAAAGGACTCCCACTGAAACAGATTGCATAGCTTGTTATACAAATATATGCACATCAATGTATATTCAAATACATCTGCTATTTCATTGCTTAACAGGTCTAGAAATATTTATGAACTTTACAAAAAAGGATTTCAATGTCTCCACTGGGAACCAGCACTTGGTTTTAGCCCTATGCACAAAGGGGCTTTTTCCTAAGTACAAAACCAGAGGTCACTTGCAAGGGTTTTATACATGGCTGCATTTTTGGCCAAAAAGACACTTCCAGAAGTAACACCCAGACACACACAAAAGCTGTTTATTTAGAATCGACTAAAACCATCATACAGGAAGAATTGCCTGGTGTACTTCAGAAATGACTGCAAGAATGAGAGAGGGCGGTATAATGGAGAAAAAAATCTCAGTGTAAACATAGGGAAGGGGAAGTGGGTCATCCACTCAAGATCAGTGGAAAATCTTATGTATTTGAGATTGGTAGTTAGAGATGTTGGATGCCATTTTGTACAATGGAGGAAATAAGGACGTTTGAAATAAGAAATACAAAGCCAAATAGGAAAAACGTGAAGGAGGAAATTGAAGAGAGAGAAGGCTAAATTCAGGGAATAATAGATCACTCGGTAAAAAGGGATTGAATGAAGAGCTATAGAAAATGATTTAATGAAGAAATAATGAAGGAAAAGCTGAAACAAGTATGGAATTAGGGAAAGCCTAGAAAGCCATAGACTTAGTCAATGAAAACTCCATTAAACCTCTAATAGCTTCTTGTAAAAATGCATTGCACACAAAAGGCAAAAGAGTGTTACCAAAAGAAATGTATGAGACAATCAAAATGAACTTGCTAATGATCAAACTAAAATTGCCATCCTATAGAAAGGCTGAATGAAAAAGTCATGAGCAACTTTGTGAGTAAGATGTATTTCCAGACGTGTATGAATACGAGGGAAAGCATACAACATTGATGAGATTTAAGTTAACACAAGAAAAATGCTCACTTAGCTATTGTTTGCTAAATAAACAAATGTAATGAGTTGAATAAAGATTTAAAGTGGATGGAAACTAGGTGTGCATTCTGCTGAGGTTTCATGCAGTTTTAAAGTGTACAGAATATTTTGCTGAATATATAGATACTCAGCATCAAGTGTTTTATGGACAAATGCATCTAAAGGTTTGGTTTAAGAAACGCTGTTGAACACTAGATGCATATGAAGCAATAAGTATGTTTTCTTCTGAATAATTCTTTTGTTATCTTTATTTAAGCTACCTGATGTCAGTTTTGGTCATGTGATGGTAAGTAAACTATTCTATTCAGTGAGACCAATGGAGGCATGAATGTATGGTTGACATTTACTTGAAATAATTTCCAAGAAAGCTGTAACACTATGTTATGCTTTACCCTGACTTCACTATAAATATTGTTTTGCTTTTTTGTTAAAAGGTCAGTTTGTTTTTGGCTGTAGCAGAGGAACATAGCTGCCTCTTTCTATAAGGACTTATCAAATGATTTGGGAGGGAGAAGGGTCAAGTGTAGAATATTGTATGTTATTTTTACCTCAGAAATTTTGTGTGTCTGCTTTATATAATATTGCAGTTTCTCATTACATTCTATAAAACAGTAATAAGCACAAATTATGTCATAAACTTACATGGAGTTTTAACTGAGTTTCATAGAAAATAATTCACTTATGCATATCTGTAAAATCTTTAGCAAGCTTTCATGTGGATTTTCAGATAATTTAGGCACACAAGTTTAACACAGTTAGTTGTACTATATCTACAAATGGAATAAATTATATTCCCCAAACCTCTAGATAACTATTTATATACATACAGTGGTAATAAAGTTGAAAGTGAGCACAAAATTGGATCTCTAAGTTGTATGAAATCTGAAACTGGAATACATACTGTAATATATATAAATATAAAGCATGCAGAGGGCCAGTTAATCAGCTGGTTGGATGGCCTGCTTCCCAGCTATCAGATCCAAATAAGAACAGGGACAGAACTAAACCATTGCTTTTGCATTTCTTAGTTTGGATATACTGAAGTTTATCATTTACAACTGCTAGCTCCATGTTACTAGCTTACCTTTTACAAATAATGTTATACACTTTTTTTTTTGGTACATAAGTTTTCTGATGTATTTAAAGAGCTCATATAGCATTGAAAGTCTGCTCATTGACAATGAATGGTTTAAAGCAAGTATTGCATTTATACACTCGCTACTGCTGTCACTCCTTGGACAGACTTTCCTAAAAGATGAAGTTAATAAGGCACATTGAATGGGTAGCAGCACTTTCCTTTTTCCAATGAAAAAAGAAAGGAAAAAGACACACAATTAAAATGACAATAGGGTTTAACACTCTTAGTCTTTGTCTAGATCTGGTCAGTCTGCTCTGCTTGGAAAGTATCTGCAGCCTTTTCAAGTTTTTTATTCGCTCTTTTTTTTTCTTTTCTTTTTTTCGCTGTAAGAGCTATATTGAGCAGGGCTTTGTTCTATACATAAACAACTTCCATGTTCAAATCGTAGCATAAACTGAAGAAAATAAGCAGTGTCTCTGACTCTCAAGATATCATCTGGTCTTTTCCAGCCTTGTAGTCATGCCACCTAAAAGGTGAAATTCATTAATCTTAGTAAATCCATGTTCAGGTAATCCCACCCCTTATTTTTCCTCCTAGAGAACACACTTATACCTTGTCTGAAATAATTTTATTAAGCGTATTTAACACTGCATCTGAACTGCCTTGTCCGAGGCACCTGAGAAATGCCTTACCTTGCCAGAGCTCTCAGGTGGTACTGGGCTGGCGCCCACTGTGCGTGCACCCCTCTCCTCCCAACACCAGCTCAGCAGGACGCACAGGACACAGTGGGTACCATCCACCTTCACCTGGTATCTAGTCACTTCAGTGTACCTCCTAACTCACAGAGATTAAAGCAACCAGATTAATCTCTCTGTCTTATCAGGGCATTTGTTTTATCTTCTGTCCTGAGGAGATAGTTGATACAACAAAACAACAACAAAAAAACCCAGTCTATTGATATGTGAGAATGTTTCCTTTGCAGAACCAGGGCATTTATTTCTTTTCACTTAACAAAATCATCTGGAGAGATCTAAATCAGTCTTTTTTCTTTTTAACATAAATATTGTAGCCAGGCATAGAAAATTTCAGTCCCTGAGTAGGAATTTTTCATAAAGGTCTGCAAGAAATGAACAACATGTCACACAGTGGCATAGCAGAATTCCATGTATACTTTAGTCATAGCTTTTTTTGTCTCCAAAGTGCTACAGTCAAAAAATGATTGCTTGTACAATAATCTTAGACCATTTCTATGTGGCAGCACATTGTAAAGCTCTGATACCAGCCACCAGAAACTTTACAAATGAGAGAGAAGACCATGCAGGCGTAGTTTGTGTCATCTAATCTTAGAGATAAAGTCATTCACAACAAATAGATTTGCAATAATCTGCTTCTAAACTACAATGTTTACAGTCCACAGCACAATGCACCTGAGAGATTTTAGCTATCTACTTATGATGAGATGAATTACTTCTAGATGTCCTAGAAGTAATTGGCTGGATACCATAGGGCAGTTGTTCAGATGTAGTTATCTATGTTGGAGATGCCAACATCTAAGCAGAGGGATGCCACATCAAGATCTTAACTCAGGGACCAACAATTTAATGAGATGGGTAATATTATCATGTGCCAAATCAAAGGATTTGTAGAAAGAAAACAAAGTCAATAGAAAAAGGAAAATTTCCCCAAAGGCTCATCAATCATATCACTGATCCGTTTCACATACAGAGTGAAAGTTTTCAGATACGCCCCAAGACCTTCAGAAGGAAACGTTGCGTATTTTGTATAACAAGTGTGGAAGCAGTGGCCCAGAGCACCCTCCAGAATGCAAGGAGGCATGATGCAGAGGCATGGCTAGCTTGGTAGTACATACCCGGCATGCTCCTGCAGGCAAAGGCAATGCTCAGCACAGTCACCGGGAGAGGAAGGGCCCCCGAGGTGGAGAAAACCGTGCTGACAGGGCTGGAGTCTGCTTTGTCGGGGCGGTGCAGACAGGCAGCGAAGATGATGGGACCTTTCCTAGTGATGCCAGTGGAGGAGGTGACATTTGTGAGGATGGAACGGGTGGCTCGATGACAGAGGAGACTGTCGTGAGAAGGCACCTTTCATGAAAAGGAAATGGTCTGACAGAAAAGCTGACAAAGTGTAAATACGGAGTACATTGGAGAAGGAGAGGTCTTTAGGCCTGCGTGGTACTGCGAGGATGCGTGATATCCAAGTGCCCTATTTCTGAGCATGGTTAGCATGATAAGCACTAAGGGGACATGCCTAGGGATGGCATTTTGAAATTCTGTACTGAAATCATCACTATCTGTTGCTGACCATACCTGGTTTTATAAATCATAGTAAAGTTAAGAGGCAGCGAATGCAGCTATACTAAGTGGAGATCGTTCTGTAATTAAATGGGGAGGGGGGACACCGTCTTTACTTTTCAGAGTCCATTCTAAAATGTAGTAGCTGCAAGTGTTTAAAGCAACTTGCAAATAATATTCTGACAGGCAAGTGAAAAAATGATTACTAAACAATATATGGTTGAGTTACCCAAGTAGAAAATACACGTAGAATTATTTAACTTGCCACTCCAAAATCACTCTATGGAAATTAATCTGAAAAGGTATCTTTCTTTTAAGGGAAAGAAAGATGATGCCCAAATCTAGAATTCCTATAGTATCGACCTCTTATTCCCAGCTCCTGTGATTTATTCTCATGATTATTAATTGTGATCTGCATCATCCATGGAAGTTTATCAAACTACCAGTTTCTTTTTCTCTCCTCAGAATTATTCTGTGCTTGATATGAGACCACCAACTACAGTCATCACATTGAACAATGCCATGTATTGGCAAGAATTTGAAGATGCGTGTGTCTATGAATGTCTGGATGGGAAAGACTGCCAGAGCTTTTTCTGTTGTTACGAAGAGTGTAAATCAGGCTCATGGAGGAGAGGACGGATTCACATAGACATCTTAGAACTGGACTCTTACTCTAGGGTCTTTTTTCCTACATCCTTCCTGCTGTTTAACCTGGTCTACTGGGTTGGATACCTCTATCTTTAAATGTTGCCTGTAGTGGTGAAGACTGCTGTGTTTTCACAGTGCGGAGGGATGGTGAAAGTGCAGAAAAAGTGAAGGACACGGTCAGTTTCATCTCAAATTATAAAGGCCACATTAACCTTCACCATCACAGAGCCTGATGAAGAATTTTAATATGTAATTGCCTGAAAAAGAAAAACATGGAAGAATTCTCTCCTTACTGCTATTCATTTTAAGGAAAATATTCTTACAAAATTCAGCTGAATTTGTAGTATAAGCGATGTTTATGAATAATTATTGTATATTAGAATCTTTACTATTCTCCCTTGACATAGAAGCTAAACAAAATTCAGGCAAAAGTTATATGTCATTTTTGTTCTTCATTCCCATACTTTCTTCAAAATGCTGCCATATCCCTGAGGCTCAGAGCAACATACACAGGCACTGGCAAATAAGCCAAAACCAATGAAATCACTCATTTGTACTTAAATTTGCTTGAGCTATGTCCCATAGGTTTTGGGAAATATTTCATTGGTGATCTGCTTGCTATAGAGAAACCACCAAAAGGCAGTAAGAAATGTCTCTGGTGGGATCAAAACATGGACGTTACTTTCTGCAAAGGTCTGGGATTCATGGAATTAGCCACTTACCTACACATGTTGGTTTTAACTTAAGGTGAAAAGGCAGAGTTACAAGAAAGCAATTATTTTGATATAAATAAAAGACTTGCCTATCTCTGAGGCAGCTGTAGGCATAACTTCTACAGTTTTTCAAGCTTTTAACTGTCTTTTTTATGACTGCTTAAACACAGGATGGTCATTGATTTCTAAAGTACTCTACCTGAAGCAGGACAAGATTCCTGCTTGTTTGTGTCATTGTAGCAGATCATAGTTGATAGGCCATGAGTGCAAATCACTGTATAATAGCACTAGGAATATGTGACTTTCTTCAGATTGCAATTTACTAAAAAGTGCTCTCATGCATTCTTATTTTCTCTCTCAAAGTTATTTTACAAAATTGAAAAACATGTGTGCCAAAGGACATTTTTTGTTCCTTCCATAAAGTTAAACACTTCAGTCCTTACTCACAGCAGTTGTTCCCTGGGTCTGAGCTGAAGACTGAACACTTTTGACTTGAATAGTGCATTATGGGAACTCAGTTGTCACACTTGGATTAAACATGGAATAATTGCCACATGTAGAAAAATGTTGTTTTCATTTTTTTTCTAAACTACCAACTATATTTTACCCTAAAAAGCAGGTGACTGAAGAGCAGTTCCTTTCCTCCTCAGAAGGAAAACCCTGCAAACAAGCAAAAAATAATGCAATGGTAATTCTAAAGGAAAAGAAATGCTGTCATGTTCTTTGAAACATCACTGTCTGTCATTGCTGTTTCTCTGTGCTTCCAGTAAGTTTTTAATTGAAAAAAATTGCTAACACAAAAGTTAACTGTAGTTATTCAAAAGACTTTCTTCTGTTTTTCATTTGTCTAAAATATCAAAGACAGAGCTGGGTTTAGGTGGGGGAGGGGAATCACTTCTCTAAGGACCGACAAAATTCAAATTAGAAGCACAGAGAAGAAATATTTTGGGGCAGGATCAAAACCTTATTTTTAGCAAAATCTGCCTAATCTGATGTCTTCTAAACTAATGATAACCTTCTGATTTCAAAATACATGTTGAAGTTTTTGCTAACTCTCAGTAGCAAATTACTCTGTAAAATCTATTACTCTGTAAACCTCTGTGTCCTGCACTTGGAAGTATGGATTTTATTTAAGGATGAGAGTTATTTTCAGCAGTGCAAGAAGGTGATTGAATTGAAGTTGAATATCCTGGTCTCTGATTATGAATTAGTCTACTCTAACAGCCACCTTCAGCCATATTTTGCACGAACACTAGAAATATTTCAAACCTAAACAGAAAAATGTAAACAGTTATCCTTTAGAGGCCTGATCCTGCAAACCCTCTGCACAATCAATTGATTTTGGTGGGAGTATTGAGACAGATGAGGCACAAGAAGGTGCCTTCCACTGTTAGATCTTGAACAGGTAAAGTGAGGTTTATTTAGCAATTGCATACTTGAGTGAATGTCCTGGGAGTAAGGGTGGAAGTGGAACATTTCCATTTTAGACGATGAGCATATACTTTTCTTACACTTCTGCTCATGGCTAACAATCCCATCAGATCCTTCCTTGGAAGACTGACTCTGCTAAATCCATTCATATTGCCTCTGTTTTCTGAGTGCTTTCATAAACAGAAGTTGGAAGCATGTAATTCCACTTTTTTCCACGGTCCTAATCAAGAAAGCATCTCCAGACACTACTGGCTTCCGCTCTTATACTGACAGCAGAGGACGTATGTGTAATATATTCTACTCTGGGGTTATGTGCAAAAAATTGATTTGTATGCGAGCTGAGCGGCCACAGGCTAGCAGGTTCCAGAATGCATTCCTCTGCTTATTCCTAGTTGCTTGGTTTACTCTCTCTGCTTCACTGCTCTGTTCTTTGGCAGCCACTGAAAAACTGTAGAGATTAGGGAAGATAAGCTTTCTGTGCTTTGCATCATTCAAAATGCAATTATTCTAGACATCTAGGTAATGTGGTCTCCATATATCTATGTGCCATATCCTTCTGTAGTAGTAAGAATATCCTCATTAACCTCCAGGTATTGTTTTGCTTCTTTCACATATTGAAAAAACTTAACACTTCTGTGCACTGTCCCATGAGAAATATAAGAACCACCTTTTAGCATTTTAGAACATTTTCTTATCAAATAATTTCATATTCAAGACTTGTATTTATTCAACTACTCCTTTTTGTTATTTAGCACTTCTTTTTACCTCTCCAAATAAGGGAAGGGAATGGAGGAAGGCAAAACCACATGACTAGTGAAATGAAAGCATTTGCATATATATGTAAAACCACAAAATCAAGTATCTTCACATTGCATTCCTTCCTTTTTGAAGTTACAGAAAAGACTGTGAGGGTTTGTTTGGATAACCAACTTTTCCCAGGAGGATCTAAAGTCAAACCTCTTATTCTCCCCCTTCAATTAAAAGTTGATGGACAGTGTTTTCCTGCATTGAGGGCAGCATTTTCAAGGCAATGAAGAATGTATAAGAGTACTGTTCTTAATTCAGTCTTCTCAGTTCTTCTGGCCTTGATGCCTAACATACTGACAGCTCCTTCTTTTACAGCTATTCTTCCAAGAATAAGTGTACAAAAACTTGCAGCCAGTTTATGCTGTCTCCATCTCCAGCAGTAATGTGGAACTGAAGTATGCCACATGCCACACAATTTTAATGTAACTTTCTAATCAAGAAGTTCGGCTGTAGATTAAAACACCTCAGGCATTTTGATAACCTTTCTTCTCTTTCAGATGTTCATTTTCTCCTTCATCAACTCTCAGCTGTACATTGGTATATTGTACATACCAATAAAAATGATAAGAATTACAGCAGGAAGAATGAAAAAAGCCAGAACTGTCTTCACAGAGACAGCAATGAGTAGTGAAGCTAAAAAAGGAGGAAGAAATTATTTTTTATTGCGGTGCAGTTCTTATCTGTCCCACTTCTCTTATTCAGTTCTTCCCACCAACTACCCACGGCTAATTCCAAATCATCCACCTGGCGGTTTGCACATTCATCAGCTGGAACAGCAGTGACACATAAGCCTTTAGCTGATAGGAAATTATATTTCTGGAACTGGAAGCATCCTGCCAAATAACTCAGATAGATAGCTATCCCAAACACTTTTGCAGCCCTAATGTGTCTCAGAGTCTAGCACCTCATGTTGCTGCACGAATTTATCACAACTCGCCTTACTTGGTTGTTTCATAAAGAGAAGGACGCTTACCTGCTTTTTGCACCAAATTTCACCATACATCTAGAAAAATGACTCTGCCCTGCTCATGCTCCAAGTGACCAGGTGCAAGACAGCTCTGGAAAGACCAGTCAGCTGTACTGCTGACTTTGTGGGAAGGGAGACTCTATGTTTTAAGACAGATTTCATTGGCCTCACAATCTGGAGGGTTGGTGTTACCTTCTAAGCTGTAAAACAAAGCGCCCACTGCAGCTTGTAAAGGCTGTCCATAACAGACTCTGCTTTTCCCAGTGGCTGCTCTTTCTGGGTTTCCATAAAGCACTAAGAAATAACAAGCCGTATCGCATAATCTTTGCTGCCTACACAATTAAATGATTTTTTTCAAGGTACATTCTTCTTCTTGCTTACAGTGAAATCTTTGTGCCTCTTACATTAGTGTCTTTAGCGTTTCTTGATATTGAAGGATATACTATTCCTGCCCTAAGAGTTAGAAAGAAGGACAATGACCTTGCTGGAGTTCTTCCTGAGCACCACAGTGTGTGACCAATATTCTAGATGTCTTCAACCTACACATTGAACATTGTCTGATTTTTCTTTATTTTTTAAGCAGTCTGTATGTTTCTCAATTCCTAAGTAGCAAGAAAACTGTAGTGGGATTTCAGCAGTTTAGCAGAATCCTTCCTTCTTCACTCAGCAACTTCATTCCACCAAGAGATGCAGAGCATAAACTCAAGGCTGATGTTTACCTCATCCAGGTCACTTCCCAGAAGACTGTTTAAAATAGGCAAAAAATAAACTATGTATTGGGAATTCATTTCCACAGCTGAAAGGTGATGCTCTTCTTCCTTTAGAGCTTTTTCTTTTTTCCTGAGTTCATTTTAGATCTTCCCTCTCTCCCTCTCTCCCTTCACCTGTACAATTGGCAAGCACAAAATCAGCTTAACTTACACTTACTTACTGAAAACTTACATTGAAATTTACACTTACATACTGAAAAAAAAAGCATAAATGTCATTAGTCTTATATTATATTTATACGCCTACAAGTTTCTTATGGTTCACCACATTCTCTTCTTGAATGGTTCTAGTATATATGCGAAAAATGAAGGCCTTCTTTCAAGACTCAGTGGCCTTAATAGTTTTACCTTTTCCCCTGGGATCCATGGTTTGTCTGGAAAACAGAAAACCAGAGAATCTACCTTTCTT